GTGTGTGTGTGTGTGTGTGTGTGTGGTAGGAGGCGCTAATGCTCATTTTTCCATATAACGTGGGGACAAAAAGACGAAGAGCGTAGAAGAAGAGAAAGACCCGGAACAGGAAGTGTATGTTCACCGGCCCCATGTGTGGCTGTTCACTCGTTCATTCGTTTGTTTTTCGAAGCGGCAACTGTAGCAACAATTGACACTTTTCATTCTCATCAACATCTCATCGGATAAATTGGCTCTGAAACTCACCGGAGACGGACACTGATCTGCCTACTCCAGAGGAAACCTTGGCGCTAGTTAGCTGACGCAGGACTCGCGCTAAAGTTGTTTGCCTAACCACCACAAGTGCAGCTCGGTATCTGGATGAAAAGCGCGGTGGACACAAGCATGGTGAAGGAGAACCGGTGGAACATCCCTCCTAACGCCCCAGCGTGCATGGAGAAGCATCTTTGCGCAGCGCAGTACAGAGCAGGTAGGCTAACAACAGGGCTGAAGGTTGCACAGGGAAACACGTGTTGACGCTGTTAGTGTCACTGTTTACTGACCTGCACGGATCTGCTGCTACATTTAAACAACGTGCAATAGAAAAAAAATGCTGCATGTAGATTTATTGCTGAAGCCGGAGCCCATGCTTCAGCTCAGCAAAGCTCTTGACTTCAGTGCATGTGGCTGGATGACCAGTAAACATGTCAAATAAATAGAGATTTGATGCTTAAATGTGTTGTTTTTCTGCCTGATGCTCCTTTCAGATGGCAGCCTGCTGCTTGGTGCCTCCAGCCTCTCTGGAAGGAGCTGGCAGGGATCAGTGTGGATCTACAGTGACCCCGAGAAGGCCCCCAACGAGGGGTTCTGCAAAGCTGGTGTGCAGACTGAGGCTGGGGTCACGGATGTCAAGTGGGTGACGGAGAAGGGTGTTGTTGTTGCATCAGACTCAGGTGAGACGCACTTTCACAGCGGTTCTACTGTATGAATCAAGTGTTCGTCCTGAATCCACCTTTACATGGTTACATGGACTTGTTTGACTGTGCAGGTGCCTTGGAGCTGTGGGAGCTGGCGGAAGACGAGGGTCTGCTTGTGAATCGCTTCACCAAACATGAGCACGATGACATTGTCACCACAGTCAGTCCCATAACTGGAACAAACAGCGCTGTCACTGGCAGCATGGACTGCAGGTAAACCAGTCAAAGTGACACTCCTGAATGAAACTGTGGATTATTTTCAATTTGGTTGGATTACACAAAAAGTACAAAACCACTTTGCATGGACTAGGGAGGAGAATTTTCTGTAGTTTCTCAAGAAATAATGTATGGATCTTATTTATATGGCTATCTTTCAATTTGTGGTAGTTTGGTTCAGATTTATAGACTTCAGTAATATTTAGTTTTGTTGTTTTGATGTGTGCTCACGGAACAAGTCATATTGTAGTTACATTGTTTTCATTCCACTCTCACCTCAGTGCATCCTTTTTCATTTTCTTTTCTACAGAATCAAAGTATGGGATCTCAGTCAGGAGACAGTTGTCACCACCTACAATGGTAAGAGAATATTTCAAAAATATCTTAATAAGAAGATCTGAATTTGTTTATCACTTAGTAGATAAAGTGTGGCTAAAATTAAGTTAAAATAAATCACCTCTTTAAAAAGAATAGTGTGCCCCTTGTTTATTTGCAGGATATCTTTTTTGTACAGCTCTCAAATTTTTTTTAAATAACTTAACTTTAACATGTTTCCTTTTCTCAAACTATTGCACTTAGTTAGATAAAGACAATACAAGATGCATGCACACATGTTTGTGTATGCACTCAGTGGAGGTTAAAATATTCTGTTATTGAAGTAACGTGTAAGTGGTCTACACTCTTGGCAAATGTGGTTTTGACATGTCAGCATTAACAAAAGACTCAATAATGGAATCTTTGTCTATTTTTTTCCTTTAGTTCACACACAGCCGGTCAGATGTGTCGCCTGCAGTCCCACAGAAGAGTCTCTCTTCATCTCCTGTGGTCAAGTAAGATTCTGATCAAACACTGAATTGGGATCACGTTTTGAAATGAGTTTCATCATTGTTGCAACTAATACTGACTATTGCTGAGAAGCTATTATTTTAAAACTATGGTGTCTTTTATAGGGTAAAATAACTGTAAGACTCTATACTGTATACTCTTCCCCTTTTATATATTGTACCTGTCTTTACTTGTCAGTTTTGTGGTTGTTTGAGTGTTTGTTGTGTTTTTGTTTGTCTGTTGTGTTTATTTGTCTATTCACAGCAGTGATAAAGTTGGATTAACTGTAAAGGAGCACGTAGAGAAAACATTAGATTTTCCCTACCGGGATTAATAAAGTATTTCTGATTCTGATAAGATTATACTAGTCTGCATTCAAGCTTACCTTGTTTTTATCCTCCTTCCATCAGGATGGGCGTGTACTGATGTGGGACAGGAGGAAGCCAGACAAACCTGCATCAAGAATCGGTGAGTCAGTCTAAGAAGCTACTCTGGTGGTTTATCTGGTTGATTTAATTCAACCATAATATAATAGTGTTTATGGATAATTTCACCATGTCAAGATAGAATAATTCTGATAATTGCTTTGTTTTTGTCACAGAGATTGAGGCCCCCAGCTGCTCCCCCACCATTGTAGCTTGGCACCCCCACCACAGAAGCACCATTGCTTTTGGTAAGGCTCAGCAGGAGATCACTGGTTGAGAGAAACATTAAAGTGGCAGTCCCTGCATTTTCATCACGTTTATTGTGTCGTAGGTGATGAGCTGGGTAGAGTAACGGTGAAGGATTTCCAAGGAACACAAGTGGCGCGGGTAGTGAGCGTTCACAGCCGCAGAGTTAATGCGATCGCCTTCTCCACACACAGGTCAATCTTAATTCTTCAAATATTTCACTTCTTTCTCACATTGCATTGATCATGTTGTAGTTCCTCTGCTAAACTGTTAGTTTTCCTTTTATATTCCAGTGACCCCATGCTTGCCACAGTTAGTGATGACTGCTCCCTTGCTGTTTTGAACTCTGACCTGCAAGAGATGTGAGTCTTTGCACTTGATACTATAATTGACTGATTCTCCTTTACCATTTTAACTAGACTAATCATACATCCTTCTTCTGTAGGCTGAGAGATCGGCGACACAAGGACTTTGCCAAAGGTGTGAGCTGGCACCACGGTGGCTCTGACACCCTCACAACCGTGGGCTGGGATCATCTTGTTCTTCACCACACAGTGGTTCCTGCTTCCGGACCTCCCAACTCCTCCTCCTAGAGCCAACACATGGTCACATATCCTGGAGGAGCATGATCGAAAGTCACTATACTCGCCCCCTATTTATCAGGGGTGTATCTAAAAAGTTTAAACTAATATGAGAGGAAAGATGGGTTGACGTGCTTGATTGTCATCCAGTACTCCAGATATGTGCAAAATATTTGGCCTCGGTGCATTACCGCTCTTTTCTGTCAACGTCTCACTCTCTTTCTCTCTCTGTCTCCATTTTGTTCTAGTATTTTCATTCATCTGTAATTACACTTGAAGCAACCCATTTGTAATGCATAATTTTACATTAAAGGTAACTTGATGTTGTGATGGCAAGAATCTTTTGGTTTCCTGGAATCTACTCTATCGACAACCACAAGACTATATGAAGAAAGTGTTTGGAAGGATTGGGGATGAAAAGTGTCTATACAAACCATCAGCATATGCTCTATATTGTCTCATTTTTCAAGCATTTTCACTCTTAACCATGACCTTACAATTGTTGCTGTCATTAATGGTTATTTCCTATGTGGCTACAAATGTAATAGGGTCAATATTGCTGCACTCTTGGTCGGATATTATTATATTTTTATACAGCATATTTATTAGATAGTGTTTAGCACCTCATTTCACGAGCAAATTTGAACACAGACTGAGATCTATAAAGCCCCTTAATCTTAAAAAATCTTGCAAAGCCTATGATTTCTGGGAAAAAGAACATTATAAAAATGTAATCTTTGAGCTTTCTCTCTTTCCCCTGATTTATACAAAGGACAGTGCAACTACCGTGCCCCTTTGTTTAAAAAAAAAAAAAAAAAACATTGTGTGCACACTCAAACACAGTGTTCACCCCAAGTTCCTTCGTCTTATTGGCTTTGTTTTTTACTTTTAAATGAGGCTTTTGTTCTGTAGCTGTTGCCTACAAAAGAAAAGCCTGATTTCTGGTTTGTCTTCTACTTAACTGATGATCTATAGGTAACAAAGATTTAACAAGAAAAAGAAACATTGACAGCAAAACAATTTGTAACTTTTTCACTCAAAAACTTTACATTGTACACAAAAAACTCAAGGATGTTTTTTAAGACAGGGAATTACTGCATGAATAAAATAAAGAAATTGCTTGGCAACATTTCATGTAGATGAATAACTAATTTACTTCATGACCAATATATCTTAAATATTTTTGATTACGTAACCTCAACATGCAGAGTGGGGTCCATAGGTTTTCAACCTCAATGTTTATTCAGCATGTCACAATATCTAAGTTCTACATTAATCGAATACAAACATGTACAAGAATAACACACAATATAAAACAGATATTTAACCATAGCAAATAACATTTATACAAATGTAAGAACATCAACCCAATGAGAAACAATCCTACTGAGAGATCAGCATGCTCTGACACTCACTCAGCTTTGCTCCAGTGGATCTATGTAATTTACATGTAACAGTGGAAGAACATTGCACTTATCGGATATGCAATTACTGCGCAAGCCACAATAATTCTGTTGTACATTATTATTGTATTTTACAATCAGGAATCTCAAATCTATGAATGATTTATTGAATTTACTGTATAACGTAGATTTAAGTTTAAAGCAGTGAATAACTTAAGCATTAAGCATTTTGTTAATAGATTTTTCTCATACTATGTATATTACCCATAAGGCATAGAGATTTATTGTATGACAGTGACACTGTGTCCTTTGAAAATTGAGTAATACTTATAGATAACATCTTTCATAACTGAGCAGACATACTCGAAACTATTAAGAGACATTCTGAACATATTTACCGAACACATTCATGTCACTCATTTGATCAAAGTGCTTTTTCCCCATTGTACAAACTCCTGCTAATGCAAAATCACATTATATATTCACATGCAATGGTTATTGCATTAATGTGTCTAATTTCTACATATTTTGAAGATTCCTATTTAAAAATTGGGGTGATAGGCTGTTTGGTTCCAGGCCGAACTGTAAAGGTCATACCATACTGATGTTTTGATCGTCCATTACTGAAAAAGAAAAAGACATTTGGGATTATGAGTTGCTTCTGCACCCAAATATTGGGCATCAAGTTAAAAAGAGAATGCTTCAGGATTAAGCACTAGAGGTCTTACCTGGTGGGAACTTTCAGCGAGGAGGTCTCCTGATACTTTTTGGTCACTTTATTCTGTAATTCCTGCATGTCTAATGTTGCTGTTTTGTTGACTACGGGGTTACTCTTGCTCTGCAGAGTGGCTCTGGGAACAACAGGGATTTTATTGTACTCATCAGACAGGGGGGCGCCCCAGTCATCAGAACTGGATTCTGCCTCTGTCGTTGGGGCCATTTTGTGGTCCATTTCCGACATCTTCTTTTGTAAGATGCTCAGGAGTGTGGCCTGACTGGGAGAAAGACTGGACGGTGGCTGAGTAGGGACCACTTGGGGTTTTGGTTTGACATCAATGTTAGGAGGTGGGAGTTTTGGAGCTACTGGGGGTGCAGGTTTTGAAAAAGGGGGTAGAACTGGAGCTGGAGGAGGGAGGTTCACGGGTGGTGCTGGTAGCTTTTTCATAGGAGGGAGGCTCACGGGTGGTGCTGGTAGCTTTTTCATAGGAGGCTCAGGTGGAGGGATGGAAGGATGAGGCTCCATAAACACTTCTAAATCATCAAACTCTGGAGGAGGAGGGAGTAATGGCAAACCTAACTCCACTTGATTAACCTCAGGTTGTGCAGATCGAGTTTTAGGGAGTGTTTGCTCTCCATTGTGTTTCAGCCCAACCTGGTCGGTTGCTCGTGCGTTTGCAGCTGCTGTGATCCTATTTAGAGCTGGACTGGTAGAGTGCACCTGATCCCTGACCAATGCAAGGCTGCTAGATTTTTCAGGAGGTTTCGTTTTTTGTTCAATCGGAATGGCAGACTCTAGCCTGTCCTCTAGTCTTTCTTGAGATGTAAGAGAAGAGGATGAGCTTGACCTTGGGATGACAACAAAGGAATTGGGACTTGAGTCGATTGGGTAAATGCTTGTGCTCGGTTGCTCATTGTTCTTGGCACTGTTTTCCCGTGACAGAGAATGGGTTGGTCTGTGTTTCTCTCTTTCTTTGGCTGCCATTAAAAGAGCCAGGGGGGACGCTGCAGGTCCTTCTCGTGCCCCATTTGTTTCACTACTCTTCAGATTGCGCAGTTTTCGATCTAATAAGGGACTAAATCTATGACCTTGACTTGGAGATTCTTCCAATGTGTCCTTGCTAGTCTTTGAATACACATGAGAACTGTTCACTTTCAGAAGCTGTGGTGACGTCCGAGGGAGAGTCTGGAGAGGTTTGGTTACTATCGTCTGTGCAGAAACTATCCCTTTTTTAGTCTCCTTGTTTGATGCAGGAAGGGACGGTGGAGGAAGGGACGATGGAGGAAGGGACGATGGAGAGGGCTGCGTAGTTTGTAAGTTCTCCTTAGACGCCTGTGCTTCTCTGGAAACCGGTGTAGTTGGTGTAGAGACTTTCCTATCCACCTGGGCACGCACTGGGGCAGACTTAACAGAGCCAGATTCTTCCAGGAGTAACATCTGCTTGGGTCTCTGGTCATGACCGTTATACCCGCTGAGAATTGAGTGCTGAGGAACAGTGAAAAGCTTTGCTGTGTTTTGGGGATTAAAGGTGGAGCGTGTGGGTGTCTGCTCAGGGGGAGGTGGGGCAGGAGTCTGTGGCGGGAGGTCAAGGTTGGAGATGGAGGACAGTCTAATGGGCTTTGGAGGTGGTGGCTTCAAAGTTTTGTGTTGCTTTTCAGGGGGCTGCGCAGGGGCAAAGTTTGGAGGCTCAGGAATTTTGGCTGGTGGTGAACTTAGAAAGGATGAGGCAGAGCCAGAAGAGCAAGTAGATGGAGGCTTTGGTGGAGCCATTGGTGGTGGTTTTAAAACAGCGAAATCCTCCTCCATAGAAGGTGTCAGTGGAGTCGGTTTTGGTGCGTAGAGGTCCAGACTGTTAAGGTCACCCATGAAGTCTGGGGGAGGAGGGATAAAGGTCCCTGGAGGAGGTGGTGGTGCAATAGAGGGAGGAGGTGGAACAAATATTTCCCCCTCCACGAGGTCAGGCATAGATATAACAGATCCATTGGACAACCTATCTTCCCCCACTGTGAAAGAAGAGAGAGATCTGATTAAATGTCAGCATTGCTGGAGAACTTCAGTGATTAACATGTGCCTCTACCCGAAGTTTAGATTTACATACAAGTATTAAGAACTAAGTAAGATACATTTAATATGTCAACATGATAAATACAATAAAGAAATACATCGAAATTCCTACAATGACTCTGGATACAAGGATCACTTGTCTGTAGCAATTCTAATAAAAGTAGAATCTTAAATTCGCTGAAAAACAAGTATAAAGCCTGATTAACAAGTACGATAAGAATCTCACTTAAATTCAGTTGCTTACACCTCAAATTAAATGAAACAAAATCCACTTCTTTCAGAAATTCCCACACTCCCATTATGTAAATATGCTTGCCAGCCAGTAAAGCTATTCCAGAATTCAGGGGGATTATTGAGAAATTCCCTGGGTAAACATTTACCTGCTCCACATTTTAAAGCCTTTATGTAGCCATTCTGTTTGATGTGATCGAGCAACTGACTCCGAGTTGTGGCACCACAAACTGTCTGGCTCTTCCAGAGTGTATGTCAAAGATTCCTAAACCTAAAGTACATATCGGGTTGTAGGACGCTCACCTGAGCCATTGGCCTTTAGACCATTGACAGGGGGAAGGAGAGGGACTTTGGGTGTAGGGACAGCAAACCCTTGAAAACTATCAGATGACTGTGAGGGGGAAACGGAAACACAAGAAACAAAGCACAGTTCAAGAACAGATAAAACAAACTCTTTGTAAAACTTTGTGGAGGAACTGAAAAGAGATTTTTTTTTTACTACTCAGTCCTGGAGTGAACAAACCAGTTTTCAGCTACTGCTGAGCTCAATGTTCCCTGAAAGCTGGTTAGAACATACAATACTCATTACATCATTAGTATCAATAGAAAAAAAGTTGCTTCTGAATCATTACATTTTTTCTATGCATGAGCCTGAGTGTACAGCAGTTCACAGCCCTTTTAACAAATAGTTTTAAATTAAACCTGTAAAAATAAGCATTGCACTGAAGACAATACAATATAATCTAACTAGTGTTTCACAGTGTGTGCATTTTTTATATGTTTTAATGCTAATTTCCATGATTCGTCACAATGAAAGCAGAGGTCACACATTATTAAGCAATATTTTTTCTACATCACACTTTCACATACCATGCTCATGATGAGTACTGGGTGAATCAGAGGATACACCTATTATTCATCATGTTGTCTAGTGTTAGGTAGGCCTGGCTGAGATAATGTTAGGTTGTCACTTAGATATGTGTCCATGTGTGTGTGTTTGTGTGCATCTCAGAGTTCCAAATGAGGGAGAGAGCGATGGAGAGATTTCCTGTTTTAACAGCAGCAACGCCATCAATGGCAAACACACTGTGTTGACACAATACAAGTCCATGAGATTTAACAGGGTATTTGCCCTTCAAAGGACAGAAAATCATTTCAACAGCACAACATCTTTTACTGCAGTGACTCTTGGTTCTAATCTGTCGTTGGCCCTTTGATTCATATACTTATACAATAACAAAGCATTAATCTCACACTAGTTTCACTTTAAGATACTGTCAAATCGAATAGGCTGGTGATGATATAATGATAGGGACATAATAATGTAAAGTAACTCGAATTCCAAATAAAAACTGTTCTCGTGCAATCACACTTTCCAAAAACGTTTCAGGTAAGTCAGTTGGATGTTTAACTGACATGAAACATAGACTTATAACTACTCCCTCTTTCGTTTAAATCAAAGTATAATTCTTGTAAAAGTATTTACACTGCACCTCAGGCCGAGGGTGTGTCACTAAAGATGGCTTATGATCCAGTTTGATTTCATCTGTTTGTTCCTTGTGTAATGACTCACATTCATCTGTCGCAGCAGACTTAAGCTGTCCTGCCCATGTGCTGCTGGGTGTGCCACATCCAGCACATGCCACAGACACATTCACTGAACACTCCCAACTGAGGTGTGTGAACCGGGGCAGGGAGACGAGCTCTTTGTTTATATCTGCACCATCATGGTGTTGTGAGTGAAGGTAAATCCATGCAAACCACATAAAAGCTTCCATGTTAGCAGGTGCACAGCATCTTAATACCCTTGTGATACACAGTGTGGGAAGTGAAATTACAAATATCACAGTATAAAGATACTGTGTTACAAAATAAACACTTTCATTCAAATTTAGCATCAGCTTAATGCACTGGGCTGTTTCAACAGCAAAGGATCTTATAATGCTGTAGAATACCCCCCATGATTGTTCTTCTGTACAACTGACACTACTGCTACTACACACTAAATTGGGTACAAATTCCTAATATAGGTTCAAAGTTTAGGAATAACTGGTTTAATCTTTAACAATGTGCTTTATTTCACCAGCTTATAATATACTGTAATGCAAAACCCTCATCTGATAAAAAAAAATAAATTGCTATAACCATCTGGTCAAGTAAAATATTGAAAGAGGAGTAGACATGATAAGCAGCAATACATGGAAACACTCCTGTAGACTACAGGTAACTCAAACTCATACCTGAGTGCAGTACTTAAAGGTAAAGATGCTGAGATATGTTCTCCCTCTTTCAATCATTGTCAGTGACTTTAGTTGTTTCTGTTAAATATTTTAATGACGTACTAACTTGCTATTATTATTTAGTCCATTTCCTAATTTAAATGTTCCATTTTTAAACTTTTATCAATGATTCTTGCTTTTGAAATATTATTTCACTATTTCCTATGCTGCACCATGAACTGCAGAACAGCAGACCAACATGATAATATCATTGTATGGTACACCAGTCACTACCATATTCCATATATTTCGAAGAAACAGTGCAGTTCTGCTGATGCCTTAAGGTTAAGGTACCTTAAGGTAAGTATTCTGTACATTGGTAAACCACATACAGACAGACACATATCCAAATTCAACATAAGAGACTCTGATAAATGTGAATATCTACAGTATATGGACCACATTTACTTCACTGGAGTACTCACAGCGTGATGCTTGACTGTGGGTCTGGCCCGCACACTGGCAGTCCCTGACTCAGGGATCGCTGGTGAGGACAGCACCAACTCCACATTGTCTGAGGAAATAGAAAAATCTGAGCATTATTATCCAATGTAAGACATCAAAGCAAGTTTCGACGGATCATTTTAGCAGTTTCTGTTCAAAGCACCGTGAATCATTTGGTGAGAAAGGACATATGATGGGGGCAGTAACCCGTGGTAACCCTTCAAAACTGCTTTTTACTGTCCAACTGTGCATTGTTCCTCTAGGATTAGTACATTCTGCTCATTGTGCACGTAATGACATACCAGAGTGGACTCTTAGAGGCTGTCAGTCAAGATAATAATCTACCGTGTTATCTCATGTGCTGTTATGGCTTTGTTGTTGACGATTGAATTGTTATTAGTTACACAGGTGAAATCTTTATTCACATTCCACTATTGTGTTGAAGAGAAACCTCAATTACAAGTGAACGCAACTACAGAAACGCAACTTGTAGAATATACAACAATGATGTCCAAATAGAAATAGTGCCTGTTGAGAAGCTTCACTCATTCAACATTGACTT